ACAGGTGTCCCAGCCCCAGGTGGCCGCCCCACCACCCCCCACACAGGTGTCCCAGTCCCAGGTGGTCGCCCCACCGCCCCCCACACAGGTGTCCCAGCCCCAGGTGGCCGCCCCACCGCCCCCCACACAGGTGTCCCAGCCCCAGGTGGCCGCCCCACCGCCCCCCACACAGGTGTCCCAGCCCCAGGTGGCCGCCCCACCGCCCCCCACACAGGTGTCCCAGCCCCAGGTGGCCGCCCCACCGCCCCCCACCCAAGAAAAACTGGATTTCACGAGGACAGAGGTTAACGAGGAAGGGCCACAACATTCCCCCTCCCCCCCTTGTGCACGTCCTTGTGGGGGGAAGGGGGGGGGGAGGAGGAGGAACACTTTCCCACTTTCCTCCTTGAGGAAAGTGGAAAAGTGTTCTTGACGACGACGGGAGAGGCAGCCGGCGCCATCTCTCACTCTACTGTGACGGTATGGTGGGCCACACCCACCACGCTGGGCCACACCCACCACGCTGGGCCACACCCACCACGCTGGGCCACACCCGCCACGCTGGGCCACACCCACCACGCTGGGCCACACCCACCACGCTGGGCCACACCCAACACGCTGGGCCACACCCACCACGCTGGGCCACACCCGCCACGCTGGGCCACACCCACCACGCTGGGCCACACCCACCACGCTGGGCCACACCCACCACGCTGGGCCACACCCACCACGCTGGGCCACACCCACCACGCTGGGCCACACCCACCACGCTGGGCCACACCCACCACGCTGGGCCACACCCACCACGCTGGGCCACACCCAACACGCTGGGCCACACCCACCACGCTGGGCCACACCCACCACGCTGGGCCACACCCACCACGCTGGGCCACACCCACCACGCTGGGCCACACCCACCACGCTGGGCCACACCCACCACGCTGGGCCACACCCACCACGCTGGGCCACACCCAACACGCTGGGCCACACCCACCACGCTGGGCCACACCCACCACGCTGGGCCACACCCACCACGCTGGGCCACACCCAACACGCTGGGCCACACCCAACACGCTGGGCCACACCCACCACGCTGGGCCACACCCACCACGCTGGGCCACACCCAACACGCTGGGCCACACCCACCACGCTGGGCCACACCCACCACGCTGGGCCACACCCACCACGCTGGGCCACACCCACCACGCTGGGCCACACCCGCCACGCTGGGCCACACCCACCACGCTGGGCCACACCCACCACGCTGGGCCACACCCAACACGCTGGGCCACACCCACCACGCTGGGCCACACCCACCACGCTGGGCCACACCCACCACGCTGGGCCACACCCACCACGCTGGGCCACACCCACCACGCTGGGCCACACCCACCACGCTGGGCCACACCCAACACGCTGGGCCACACCCAACACGCTGGGCCACACCCACCACGCTGGGCCACACCCACCACGCTGGGCCACACCCACCACGCTGGGCCACACCCACCACGCTGGGCCACACCCACCACGCTGGGCCACACCCACCACGCTGGGCCACACCCAACACGCTGGGCCACACCCAACACGCTGGGCCACACCCAACACGCTGGGCCACACCCAACACGCTGGGCCACACCCAACACGCTGGGCCACACCCACCACGCTGGGCCACACCCACCACGCTGGGCCACACCCACCACGCTGGGCCACACCCAACACGCTGGGCCACACCCAACACGCTGGGCCACACCCAACACGCTGGGCCACACCCAACACGCTGGGCCACACCCAACACGCTGGGCCACACCCAACACGCGGGGCCACACCCAACACGCTGGGCCACACCCACCACGCTGGGCCACACCCACCACGCTGGGCCACACCCAACACGCTGGGCCACACCCACCACGCTGGGCCACACCAAACACGCTGGGCCACACCCAACACGCTGGGCCACACCCAACACGCTGGGCCACACCCAACACGCTGAGCCACACCCACCACGCTGGGCCACACCCAACACGCTGGGCCACACCCAACAAGAAAGACAACACATTTAATTAGTGTTAATGACAAGAGAAACATCGTAGTATTATCTGGCCGATACACGACACGTGACAAGGACACGACACGTGACAAGGACACGTGACACGTGACAAGGACACGTGACACGTGACAAGGACACGTGACAAGGACACGTGACACCTATACCCACTCTCAGCGCCGTGTGTCGCCGCCTCCTGCACAGTTAGGCACATGAGAATGTTTATGCTACCAATACAAGTCAACAAGGAGGAGAGTGTGGGGGGGGGGGCGAACACAGGTCGGCAACACCGGCAGGTGTCTTGGACCGTCACAACACTGGTGAGAGCTGAGAGCACGCACGCACGTACGCACGCACACACGGACACACGCACGCACACATGCACACACGCACGAACACACACACACTACCCTAGTGTGTGCGTTTCCCTAGATGAAAGACTATCAGATATAGAGGTGACAGCAGAGGAGGTAATGAAACAGTTAACAACACTGGATGCAACTAGAGCAGTTGGACCAGACAAAGTATCACCGTGGATACTAAAAGAGGCAGCGCAGGCTCTCAGCGTGACTCTGGCAAGGATCTTTAATGAGTTACTTATGTCGGGAGAATTGCCCAATTGCTGGAAGAGGGCAAATGTTGTACCGATTTTCAAGAAAGGTGATAGGGAGGAGGCACTTAACTATAGACCTGTATCACTGATAAGCATCCCCTGTAAAATACTTGGAAGAATAATTAGGCTACGACTGGTTGCACACCTGGAGAAAGTTAGGTTTGTGAACAAACATCAACATGGGTTCTGGAAAGGGAAATCTTGCCTAACAAACCTTTAGAAATCCATGAATTCCAAGAGGACTTGAACAGGTTGCAGAGATGGTCAGAGAAATGGCTACTGGAGTTCAACGCGAGAAAATATAAAGTTATGGAAATGGGACTAGGTAATAGGCGACCAAAGGGACAGTACACAATGAAGGGGAACTGCCTACCCGTGACGACGCGAGAAAGAAACCTGGGCATGGACGTAACGCCTAATCTAACTCCTGAGGCACATATAAATAGGATATCGACAGCAGCGTACTCTACACTAGCAAAAGTTAGAACATCATTCAGAAACCTAAGTAAGGAGGCATTTGGGGCGCTTTACAATGCCTACGTGAGGCCAGTCTTAGAGTATGTCGCCTCATCATTGAGTCCCCATCTGAAGAACCATATAAGGAAACTGGAAAAGGTTCAGAAGTTTGCAACGAGACTCGTCCCAGCGTTATGAGGGATGGGGTATGAAGAGCGCCTGAAGGAACTGTGCCTTACGACACTAGAAAAAATAAGGGAGAGTGGGGATATGATAGGAACGTATAAAATACTCAGGGGTATTGACAGAGTGGACACAGACGAAATGTTCACACGGAATAGTAACAGAACGATGGGACATGGGTGGAAGCTGGAAACTCAGATGAGTCACAGAGATGTTAGGAAGTTTTCTTTTAGCGTGAGAGTAGTGGAAAAATGGAATGTACTTAAGGAGCAGGTTGTGGAAGCAAACTCTCTTCATAATTTTAAAACCAGGTATGATAGGGAAATGGGACAGGAGTCATTGCTGTAAACAACCGATGCTCGAAAGGCGGGATCCAAGAGTCAATGCTCGATCCTGCAGACACAACTAGGTGAGTACAACTAGGTGAGTACACACACACATGCCTAGGAACCACCACTCTTACACAACACACTTCTTCACAGACGCCTCATTAACCCCGTGTCACACCCGTGTCACACCCGTGTCACACCCGTGTCACACCCGTGTCACACCCCGAGTGGTAACAACGTGGTACACGAGGATAACCTCTTTATAACGAACATCGGCGGGATAAAACAGGTCTGGCTCCTGGACTCAGAAGTATTGCGACCAACTGGTGATAAGCTGGAGCCCAGGAGCTGGAGCCCAGGAGCTGGAGCCCAGGAGCTGGAGCTCAGCCCTGCTTGGCGCAAGAGGAGGAAAGCAGGTCGTCAGCAGCAGTTACAACAACAACGATAACAGTAATGACCGTTATTATGGTGCAAACAAATTGCAATTGCACAAAATATATGCAATTGAAACAAACAAAACCCCAAAATGCAACTGTTCTGCCTAACCAGGAACGTACTAACCCAAGCAACCCACCTAACCCATCGAGGCCGATGGTCGGAATACGTCAATATTACGGTGGTTTAATGTTCACTAATACATCGCATTTATAACGGAGTGATCAATTCCGCGAACAATGAGGCGAGAGAGACAGGTTGTAGAACACTCCCGCATTCATGTCCTGTTGGTATAACTGGGATGTGTTTCCGGCACTAGATACGCCAGGATCATTACCCCAACCAATCAGGAGCACCCTGGAAGGCCCTACCAATAGGGACCCACGTGTGCCCCAACCAATCAGGAGCACCCTGGAAGGCCCTACCAATAGGGACCCACGTGTGCCCCAACCAATCAGGAGCACCCTGGAAGGCCCTACCAATAGGGACCCACGTGTGTGCCCCAACCAATCAGGAGCACCCTGGAAGGCCCTACCAATAGGGACCCACGTGTGCCTCAACCAATCAGGAGCACCCTGGAAGGCCCTACCAATAGGGATCCACGTGTGCCCCAACCAATCAGGAGCACCCTGGAAGGCCCTACCAATAGGGATCCACGTGTGCCTCAACCAATCAGGTCGATTCGCCAGCGCCCGGGACGTGAGCCGCCATTGGTAGCAAGTCTGAGTGCAATAGTGACTAAGCTCGTTGAGTGACGGAGTGCTGGTGCACTAGTTTAAGAACTCTCAGAGACTGTGCACTCAGTCACAGCTGTTCTTGCACACATGTGGAAAACCACACCTCCCAGCTCACACCAGAGCTGGGAGGGTCGAGAGAAGACAGAGAAACAATACTCTGGCGCTCACTGAGAGTGGAGCTGAGGTGTCTATGTAACTCCACACAGGTGACAAAGGTAACTCACCGGTCCACACAGGTGACAGGAGCGCTTAGCGGAGTGCAGGTGACGCTGTCCTTCCATGGTCCGTCTTTTGTCGGTACCTGGGGATGACACAGTGGCTGTTAGTTAATGAGAACACCTGCACACACACACACACACACACACACACACACACACACACACACACACACACACACACACACACACACACACACACAGTACACCAGTTGATTGACAGGCACAACAGCCAGCACACAAGCACTGTGAGTACAATTAGGTGAGTACACACACACACACACACATACACACACACACTGTGTGTGTGTATGTATTTATTTATTTATATTTATTTATTTGTATTTATTTGTATGTATTTATACATACATATACACAAATATATACATATATACAATATACACACACATATATACTAATTTTTTCCCAATTATTGGGGGATTTCTGGTCGGTGTTTCACCTGGGAATTATGTACTGTGGGGCGGGGTTTTCATCTAGTAAATCACGGCTCTTGGGCCACCAGCTGTGGGAGCGGGGCGTCTCATCTTGGGCCACCAGCTGTGGGAGCGGGGCGTCTCATCTTGGGCCACCAGCTGTGGGAGCGGGGCGTCTCATCTTGGGCCACCAGCTGTGGGAGCGGGGCGTCTCATCTTGGGCCACCAGCTGTGGGAGCGGGGCGTCTCATCTTGGGCCACCAGCTGTGGGAGCGGGGCGTCTCATCTTGGGCCACCAGCTGTGGGAGCGGGGCGTCTCATCTTGGGCCACCAGCTGTGGGAGCGGGGCGTCTCATCTTGGGCCACCAGCTGTGGGAGCGGGGCGTCTCATCTTGGGCCACCAGCTGCGGGAGCGGGGCGTCTCATCTTGGGCCACCAGCTGTGGGAGCGGGGCGTCTCATCTTGGGCCACCAGCTGTGGGAGCGGGGCGTCTCATCTTGGGCCACCAGCTGTGGGAGCGGGGCGTCTCATCTTGGGCCACCAGCTGTGGGAGCGGGGCGTCTCATCTTGGGCCACCAGCTGTGGGAGCGGGGCGTCTCATCTTGGGCCACCAGCTGTGGGAGCGGGGCGTCTCATCTTGGGCCACCAGCTGTGGGAGCGGGGCGTCTCATCTTGGGCCACCAGCTGTGGGAGCGGGGCGTCTCATCTTGGGCCACCAGCTGTGGGAGCGGGGCGTCTCATCTTGGGCCACCAGCTGTGGGAGCGGGGCGTCTCATCTTGGGCCACCAGCTGTGGGAGCTGTGGGAGTGGGGCGTCTCATCTTGGGCCACCAGCTGTGGGAGCGGGGCGTCTCATCTTGGGCCACCAGCTGTGGGAGCGGGGCGTCTCATCTTGGGCCACCAGCTGTGGGAGTGGGGCGTCTCATCTTGGGCCACCAGCTGTGGGAGCGGGGCGTCTCATCTTGGGCCACCAGCTGTGGGAGCGGGGCGTCTCATCTTGGGCCACCAGCTGTGGGAGCGGGGCGTCTCATCTTGGAGTAATCTTTCTAACATTGGGTCCTCTAACATTTCGATGGTGTTCCACACCCTGATGGCTTGGTGCTGCAGTCTGATGTTTAGTGGCTGTATGTTCAGGAGTTCGTGGAGCTCCTGGATTGTCTGATCATATGGTGGACGGTGTTTTGCTGCTCTCCTTAGCGCCTTATTTTGCACTGCTTGCAGTTTCTGCATGTTAGTTTTCTTTATGGTGTGTAGTGGTACTGGGGGATACTCTAGATGCGGCCGAACTAGAGCCTTATATAGGTGGATCTGAATGTGTGTACTGAGGCTTCGGAATCTCCTCATTTTTCGTAAGGCCGCTTTGGCTTTGTTTAGTCGGTCCTTTACATGAATTTGTATCCCTGTTCTATTGATCATGAGTCCCAGTATTCTGCCTACCTCCGCATATTGGATCGGGCGGTTGTCAAGGATGATGGGGTCCGGGTTTCTTTTTGCAATGTGTATTATCTGGAACTTTTGTTTATTTGTGCTAATTTTCCTTTGTTTCTCAAAGTTGTTTATGGATTCAATTGCTGCCTTGGTCTTGTCGGCCAATAGCGGCTTTGATGGCTAGTAGCGGCGCTCTAAGGCAAGCAACTTAGCGCAGTAGGGTGGCGGGGTTTACGGGACGGGGTTAACCTGCGGGGCACGGAGGGGGGGGGGGTTGACAGGGTGGGCGTGGGGATGGGGTAGAGGGAAGGATAGGTATATTTGTTTGCGGAAGCTGGGTAGGGTGGGGTAAGGGAGGTGATGGGTGGAACTGGTCTGGGTGGGGTTGTGGGAGGGTGCTGGGTGGATCTGGGATGGGTGGGGGTGTTGGAGAGAGGGTTGGGAGGGGGTGGATGAGGGAATGGGGTGTGGGCGGATGAAGGTGGGGTGAGGTGGGGGGGGGAGGAGGGGCGTGGCGGCACGTACTGGAGCAGGAATCTGGCCAACAAAGACACGGGCACACTGTTACTGCCCCTGACGTCATCCCCACCAGTGTGTGGCCCCGCTACCCCCGCCCTGGCGTGTGTGTGGCCCGCTACCCCCGCCCTGGCGTGTGTGTGGGCCCGCTACCCCCGCCCTGGCGTGTGTGCCCCGCTAACCCCGCCCTGGCGTGTGTGTGGCCCCGCTACCCCCGCCCTGGCGTGTGTGTGGCCCCACTACCCCCGCCCTGGCGTGTGTGGCCCCACTACCCCCACCCTGGCGTGTGTGTGGCCCCGCTAACCCCGCCCTGGCGTGTGTGTGGCCCCGCTAACCCCCGCCCTGGCGTGTGTGTGGCCCCGCTACCCCCACCCTGGCGTGTGTGTGGCCCGCTACCCCCGCCCTGGCGTGTGTGGCCCCACTACCCCCACCCTGACGTGTGTGTGGCCCGCTACCCCCGCCCTGGCGTGTGTGTGGCCCCGCTAACCCCGCCCTGGCGTGTGTGTGGCCCCGCTAACCCCGCCCTGGCGTGTGTGTGGCCCCGCTAACCCCGCCCTGGCGTGTGTGTGGCCCCGCTAACCCCGCCCTGGCGTGTGTGTGGCCCCGCTACCCCCGCCCTGGCGTGTGTGTGGCCCCGCTAACCCCGCCCTGGCGTGTGTGTGGCCCCGCTACCCCCCGCCCTGGCGTGTGTGTGGCCCCGCTAACCCCGCCCTGGCGTGTGTGTGGCCCCGCTAACCCCGCCCTGGCGTGTGTGTGGCCACACTACCCCCACCCTGGCGTGTGTGTGGCCACACTACCCCCGCCCTGACGTGTGTGTGGCCACACTACCCCCGCCCTGGCGTGTGTGTGGCCCGGCTACCCCCGCCCTGGCGTGTGTGTGGCCCCGCTACCCCCGCCCTGGCGTGTGTGTGGCCCCGCTACCCCCGCCCTGGCGTGTGTGTGGCCCCGCTACCCCCGCCCTGGCGTGTGTGTGGCCCCGCTAACCCCGCCCTGGCGTGTGTGTGGCCCCGCTACCCCCGCCCTGGCGTGTGTGTGGCCCCGCTACCCCCGCCCTGGCGTGTGTGTGGCCACACTACCCCCACCCTGGCGTGTGTGTGGCCACACTACCCCCACCCTGGCGTGTGTGTGGCCACACTACCCCCACCCTGGCGTGTGTGTGGCCACACTACCCCCACCCTGGCGTGTGTGTGGCCCCGCTACCCCCACCCTGGCGTGTGTGTGGCCCCGCTAACCCCGCCCTGGCGTGTGTGTGGCCCCGCTACCCCCGCCCTGGCGTGTGTGTGGCCCCGCTAACCCCGCCCTGGCGTGTGTGTGGCCCCGCTACCCCCGCCCTGGCGTGTGTGTGGCCCCGCTAACCCCGCCCTGGCGTTTGTGTGGCCACACTACCCCCGCCCTGGCGTGTATGTGGCCACACTACCCCCACCCTGGCGTGTGTGTGGCCACACTACCCCCACCCTGGCGTGTGTGTGGCCACACTACCCCCGCCCTGGCGTGTGTGTGGCCCGCTACCCCCACCCTGGCGTGTGTGTGGCCCGCTACCCCAACCCTGGCGTGTGTGTGGCCCCGCTACCCCCACCCTGGCGTGTGTGTGGCCATACTATCCCCACCCTGGCGTATGTGTGGCCCGCTACCCCCGCCCTGGCGTATGTGTGGCCCGCTACCCCCGCCCTGGCGTGTGTGTGGCCACACTACCCCCACCCTGGCGTATGTGTGGCCCGCTACCCCCGCCCTGGCGTATGTGTGGCCCGCTACCCCCACCCTGGCGTGTGTGTGGCCACACTACCCCCGCCCTGGCGTGTGTGTGGCCACACTACCCCCACCCTGGCGTGTGTGTGGCCACACTACCCCCGCCCTGGCGTGTGTGTGGCCCCGCTACCCCCACCCTGGCGTGTGTGTGGCCACACTACCCCCACCCTGGCGTGTGTGTGGCCCCGCTACCCCCACCCTGGCGTGTGTGTGGCCACACTACCCCCACCCTGGCGTATGTGTGGCCCGCTACCCCCGCCCTGGCGTATGTGTGGCCCGCTACCCCCGCCCTGGCGTATGTGTGGCCCGCTACCCCCACCCTAGCGTGTGTGTGGCCACACTACCCCCACCCTGGCGTGTGTGTGGCCACACTACCCCCGCCCTGGCGTGTGTGTGGCCACACTACCCCCACCCTGGCGTGTGTGTGGCCCGCTACCCCCAACCTGGCGTGTGCGTGGCCCGCTACCCCCGCCCTGGCGTGTGTGGCCACACTACCCCCACCCTGGCGTGTGTGTGGCCCGCTACCCCCAACCCTGGCGTGTGTGTGGCCCGCTACCCCCACCCTGGCGTGTGTGTGACCACACTACCCCCACCCTGGCATGTGTGGCCACACTACCCCCACCCTGGCGTGTGTGTGGCCCGCTACCCCCACCCTGGCGTGTGTGTGGCCACACTACCCCCACCCTGGCGTGTGTGTGGCCCGCTACCCCCACCCTGGCGTGTGTGTGGCCACACTACCCCCGCCCTGGCGTGTGTGTGGCCTGCTACCCCCACCCTGGCGTGTGTGGCCACACTACCCCCACCCTGGCGTGTGTGGCCACACTACCCCCACCCTGGCGTGTGTGTGGCCACACTACCCCCACCCTGGCATGTGTGTGGCCACATTACCCCCGCCCTGACGTTTGTGTGGCCACACTACCCCCACCCTGGCATGTGTGGCCACACTACCCCCACCCTGGCATG